CAGAGATTCCTCGTCATAGGCGGAGCCGCTGCCCTCCTCCAGCCTGGCAGGCAAAGAGAAAAGCACCTCTAAACGCTGCTCTTCGCCAAAGCTCAGAACAAATCTGATAACTTTTCTCACCCGTAAATGCAGGAGATGTCGAGGACCACGTCGATCATGTCACAGCAGAGTTCGTAGGACTGCATGTCCACGGGAGCGCTGTCTGTGGCTATGTAAATCTTGCTACTGACGTCGAATAGGAAGGCCTTTTCAATCCCGGAGTGCTGCAAAGCACGAGGGATGTTTATTATAAGAAAAAGAAAATACAATGAGGTTTCTTATTGTGGTTCAAATAACAAATGAAACATACAGATATGAAAATGTTCAAAAGGTTCTCCAGTGTCGGCAACTGATGAATAAGCTTCTGGGCGACTTTACTGAAGGCCTCGAATATGGAGTGGTCATAGATGCTGGTCAGGTAGAAGCTGAGGACACAAAATAAAAACGAAGGGACAGTTACTAAAACTGAGATAGAAGTTTTAATGTTAGCTTCTGAGCACGTCTGCTTTCCAAGGGTGTCTTAAAACCTTTGAGGCCTAATCATCACCACAGATGACTCTAACTCTAAGCATCAGAATATGTAACATCTGTTCTTTTTAAAATGTTCTCCCAGGACTGGGCAATCAGGTTACAAAAGAACTATTTAGAAAGAAAGGACTAGGGGCAGGTTTGAGATGAGGGTCAGGTTTGGTAGACCTCAGAGTTAAAACATTGGCTGTGCTGTAATTTTAACAACAGAGAATCCTAAAATTAAAAACTGAATACTTACCCTACCCTTCAAATAGTTGTATATTTGCATGATGGCTCTGACTAATAACTTGAGAAATCTCAAATACTGTATCTATATTTAAGAGCCATTTAAGAGTAATCAGTCATGATATTTTTCACAATCCAAGAGAATCTTTAATTTTGCAAAAAATTTGAGATTTTGAGTGCTGCAACCCAAAAAAAAAAAAAAAAAAAATCCTCCGGCCAATCTTAAATGTTCACTCAATTGAAAATACAACAGAAAGTGATTCATTTAGTTGAAATTCTTATTTAAACAACAACAACAGAAAACAAACATTTTCACCAGCTTTTGGCTATAAACAGCTAATGCTACCCAGTCATATGTAAAGTGTTACAGCCAATGTGTGACCGTCCTGTCACTGGGACACAAACTTTAATACAATACAAAAGCAGTAAATTTAGGTCAGAGTAGTGAATATTATCACAAACTAACCACCTCATGTTACCACTTTTAATTCATTTTTATATAAATAAATACATTTATATAAACATGTAACTGTTCACACATGTGAGCACTTTAAAACTGAATTTCTGTTATTACTTCAGCCCACCTGCAGTATCTTTAACAATCCACCAGGGGCCCCCACACTTTAGGAATGACTGTGTTAGGGGACTATCTGGACAGTCTATCACTGAATGGGATCAGTCTTAGCTGTCTGACTTACTAGTATGAATGTTAAACTATACGTTAACCATGACAAGAAGCTCTGTAGTATTTCACCTGTGTAGACACGTCAGACTCTCACCTGAGGTGAACCTTCTCCAGGCTGGCATCTGTCAGGTCATCGTTGGCCCTCTGGTGAATATCTCTCTGCGTTTCGATTTTGTGGTCGTCTGACAGACCGTCTACTTTGTGGATGAACACCTCAAAGTTGATGTCTGGATTCACTTTGTAGGTTTTGGATACAGTTAGATGTAACCGGCTGAGAGCCTCCATGTAGTCATCCTGGTAACAGAAGACAGGATGTGCTGATTTAGTTAACACATGATTTAATTCACCACCCACAACGTAAGCACCAAGTCACACTTAAGTCACTGTACCTGAGCGTCAATGACAAAGATCAAAGCACCAGTTCCCTTGAAGATCATCTCACTGTCAAATGTGGGGTCGAAGAAATCCACCTGGCCGGGGAAGTCCCAGATCTGGAAGTTGACAAAGGAACTGCCGGAGATGTCATCTTTGTAGAGTTTGTTGGTGCTTTCGAGGAATAAAGTCTCGTTGGGTGACATCTTGTGGAAAACAACCTGAGCAGTGATGCACAAAGATTACAGTTACTCTCAGAAATTTAAACATCACCAATTTGCTACATTCAGATGAACAGATTCAACTTTTTGGGAAATGACAAGTAATGCACTCAACCACCATGAACTGTACGCACACTCACCACACAGCTGAAGAAAAAGCATGTTGAAGTGCGTTTAAAGTTTGCTGAACAGCGTTTAGACTAGCCTGTGAAATACTGGGAGAATATAGTCCGTTCAGATGAGAGGCAAACTGAACTCTCTGGATGCCATAATACACACCATGTTTGTCTAAAGCCACTGCATATCACCCCAAATACACCATACCAACAGTAAGGTTTGGTGGTGGAAACATCATGGTGTTCTGGCATGCTTCATATAATCAAAGTAAGGTTGGAAAAATGTACTGAGACATTCTTGATGAAAAGAAACAAGGGTGGACGTTTCAGCAAGGCGATGATCCCAAACACACAGCAAGGAAACTCTCAGGTGGTTTCAGAGAAAGAAAATAAAGCTGCTAGAATGGCCCAGCCTAACACCTGACCTGAGTCCAAGTGAAAATCTATGGAAAGAACTAAAGGTCAGAGGTCATAGAAGGGCCCCACAGAACCTTCGGGATTTGAAGACTGTTTGCTCAGGCGTGATTCTGGCTCATTCATGTGACTGGTTTCTCCACACAGGAGGCGTCTAAACTGTCACAGATAAAGGCTTTTGTACGAAACACTAAATCATTTTCAGTAAGCTTGTTCAATAATCTTTTCTGGGGTCATTTCTCATTATTACACATAATTGATGAACATCTCATATTGAAACAAACTCCCACATTTCGACTGGTTTTAGTTCTCAGAAGTCAGAAACTTTTCTGAAGTCTGGCTTTTACTGAATGGCTGTGAAGAAAGCAGCAAAGGCTGTTATCACAAGTCACCGGGAGGTTAACATGTCGTCCGCTAAATCCTGGGTGAAAAACTCCAAGTCACCACAAAGTCACATGCTATGCCGATTTTTGAGGCCTGTGATGAAGTCTTTCACAAATAAACGGAAATGCAGCACCAACAAAGACTGAAACTTTTAATGACTGAAACTGGAGGAAGATGGAGTTCAGAGAAAGGTTAAAGTGGGAAGAACGACGTGGAACAGCATTCCAACATCCTGAATTATCAGTTATCACCATCCTTATTATGAGTGGTCAGCACTGACCCCTCACAGCAATAAAGTTGGTGGTTGGAACCCCAGCTCGGGCCTTTCTGTGTCGAGTTCGCCTGTTTGGACTTCTTCTCGCAGTCTGAAGACGTGTATGTTACTTTATTTGGTGATTTTAATTTGGAAATGTCTGTGAGATAAAGTGAATTGTATATGGTAAACAGATATATGTATCTATGGTTAAAATGTGACTTGTAGTCTAAAGCACTTTGAGTGGTCACTAATACTGGAAAAGCGTTATAATAATGCAAATCCATTACATAATGGCTTTTGTTAGACTGGTCCAGAGCAGGCTGTGTTGTTCTTGATCAAAAGGCAACAAGGCTGTTTTAATTTAAGCTGATTATGCTCTTTAGTTTCATGAGTTAAAGGCTCCCTTTTTTGTTGCAGCTTTACACTGCCTAGAGATCAGAAAGAAGCTGAAATACTTAAAACATTAAACTTCTGCATATGTCTTGTTGAATTGAGTTGACTAAATCCATAACAGGACAGCTGGCCACAAATGAAGCTGACAATCAAAATTTTCATGTGACTTATTGTTAAGAGTCATTTCTCACCACTACCCTGGATCTAAAGGTTTATCCACCTCTCAAAGCTAACTTTGGGGTCGCCACCGTGGATCATCGGCCTCCATCTCAGCCTATCCCTAACCTTCTCGTCTGTCACACCAACGTGTCCTCCTCCACTACATCCATGAAGCTTTCCTCCTGCCTGGCAGCTCCACCTTCAACACCCTTTTCCAGCCCTCCTCTGCACATGCCTGCCTCTCTAAATCATACAGCATTGCAGGTTTCACTCTCCATCTTTTAAATCTTCCCTTTCACTCTTGAAATCCTTCAGTCACAAATCAGACCTGATACTCATCTGTTTCTTTGGATGGTTGACTGTAGGCATTTGAACTCATCCACCTTCACCTCCTCTACTCATTGCAGCTTCACTGTTTTCAATTCAGTTTAGTTTTTTTTTTTTTTATCGGTTGACAGGTTTGGCACCACACTTTACGTCTTTTACACATAACCACAAACATGTGTACCACGACCCCCGAGGCTCCTTTAGGTGTACATTTAACCAAACGGTTTCCTCTGTTCGCTTTTTGTTTACTATGAGCTCAGTATTTTCTTGTCCTGTGGTGATCTGCATGGTGTTCGGGGACAGATAAATGACCATACCTTCTGTATGGAGGACTTGCCGCTGCGCCTCAGCCCCATCAGCAGGATCCTGGGTTTATCACCTGATGTCGGGCTCTCCTCCAGGTCTGGCACCTCCACTCCATAACCAAAACTTTTGGGGAACGACCCCACGACGCCGTAGCTCCCTGGTAATGTCGTATCCTCGTACTGAATATTCATCCTGTCCTTTATTATCTCACTTGCTCGTTCTTCTTCAATTCCGCCTCAAGCCTCCAGAAAACTCGCTGAATAATCCGAGCAGGAATGCTGTTGTCCAGGAATTTTACAACGAGCTAGCATGGCAAGCTCAGCGTTAGCAGGTAGCTGGAGTGCGGTATTTAGGTCTCAAAATAAGAGGCCAGATAGTAGCGTATCCATGTGAAGCTTGCTACACAAGTGGACAAAATCTTCAGCAATCCTAATACAGGGGTAAAGTTGGTTAAATCTAACTAAATGGATAAGAAATGACTCAAAAAAGGCTAACTTGAACGTAACTTGGACATTCCGCCCCCTTTCGCTTTTAACCCCTCCCCTTTCATGTGATTGGCTACACGCTCCAAACATTATCATGTGACAACCAACAGACAAACATTAAGGATACGGAAGCGGTGAGTAGTGTTTTGGGGGAATTTGGGACATATTTTATTTTATTTTATTTAATCTAAGTATATTTACATACATATTTTAAAGAAAACGTTGCGTAGATTTAAACCTTTGGTACAGCACCAATGCGCTACTGCGTATTCCAAAATGTACGTAATAAGTATGCGTTTGATTTGTAAATCATGTGCTCTTTCGTTTGTAGTTAGCTTGTTCGAAGTTACATGAGGATGATTCATTGACGCACTTAAAGTGAGCTGAGTTTCTAATACAGATATAAATATACCCGGGATGACCAGCTCTAATAAACTGGAAGCTTTGGAGATACTAGGAAGCACAGGGATGATTTCCTGTCGAACATTTTATTGTACTTTCCCATTTATTTGATATTCATTCACATGCAAGGACCACTGACTGTATACAAACATACAGCAGATATATTTTGACAAACATGGACCAGTGCAATTAGCAACAATGACATACAGGAGTTTAGCAAAAAAAGGTTAAATGACAAAGGAGATTTGTAATAAATAGAAGCATACAGCATTTAACTGAATAACAGCAAATGTTGCTTATATAGAGATAACATTTATAAATTCATATTGCTGAGAGATTCCAGGGGTCTGTTATTTCTTGGATGTTGATAAAATAGGAAAAACTAGTTCATTTTGTTTCCATGTGTCAGGACTCAGAATGGCAGCTGTCCTTTTGTGTTTTCTCCTGGCTGCGCCAGTGCTGCTTGTTACCTCCAGCCCAATTCATGACTCCGACAATGGGACTGTACCACTAGTGCTCTGGCATGGGATGGGTAAGTGACTCTGTTCTGTGTTACTGTAGGGATATATTGAAAAAAAAAATCTTAAAAATGGCACCTTTATATAGTATATATATATATATATAGTCTTCACAGAAAAAAAAATTAAGCATAAGCCACCTTTCTGAAACCACACTACAAACCAGTATTCATAATAACCATAAACACACAGTACACCAGCTTATGAGCTGAAGCAGAGTGTTTTAAGTTCCAGAGACATATATAAGGGGTTGCTGACTGTTAAAGGTCTGATATGTAGAGGCCCATGCAATTGTGTCATTTGTTTTCTAATTCAGTTTTTCAATTCAAATACTGCAAGTTGTTTAATCAATAAATTTTATTGTGGACAAAATCACAACCAGATTGATTTATGAAACCATGAAACATCCGGTGTTCCTCTTTTATTTTAGCTTAAGAAACTTTAAGATTGAAAAAACTCATCTAACTGTACATAGTTTCTCTATTATGTTTAAACTGAGTTGCATATTTAATCTTCAGCTCATTTTTCACAATATGTAAATAGAACTGAATAATTTGCATGTTTTTATGTAAACCTGCCATGAAACGGATCTATAAAATCTTATGTGTGGTAATTAAGCCTGCTTTTTGGTTTGTTTGTTTGTTTTAAAAGATGCATCCACAGATGTGTAGTTATTGGGATTGTGTTGTGTTTTACATAAAATAATCTAGAACAGTACAAAAAAGGTTAACTGTGATGCCCCCACTGTTCAGTACACATTTGAATAACTTACCTTGGTAACATGTGATTCATCGATTCACGTCACTTCCTGCTGACGAAAGTGAAAGCCACATGTTTACAGCAATACTGCAGTGAGATACAAACCTGAGCTGTAATGTGAGAGATGAGGAGTGTGCTTAAAACTGATAGGCTGCTCATTAAATCCTATACTATATGGAGAAATCCCACCTGAGGAAGGGAAAAGAAAAGCACTTTCTCTTCTTCCTCAGGCAAAAAAAGACACTACCTCTAACTCAGAGTACAGAAGATTTTAGAGCTTAAACCAAAGAAGACTGTGCTCTGCACTGAGCCTCTATCTGATTTATATGTATTTAAAATAAGCCATAAAAATACTGTGGATATGCCTGATTCCCTTCCATAAAGTTGGACGATAAGGCTTGTGTTTATTTGTATTTTCTTCATCAGGTGACTCGTGTTGCAACCCTTTGAGCATGGGCTATATAAAGAAAATGATTGAGCAGGAGATCCCAGGAGTTTACGTGCTCTCAGTGATGATTGGAAAAAACATAGTGGAGGTAACCTCACGCTGTAAAGACATTTATGAAAGTGAAAATATTTTGGTCTTTGCATTAGTCACATGGTAATGTTAGAACAGTTCAAGGAATTTTCAGGTATGAATTTATATTTTTGGGCTCTACGTTTGCACTGTTCAAAATAATAATAATAAGTTTAGCTCCTCCCTATATAAGGACAACTTTCTTCTGATTGGCTGCCCCTCATAAACAGAAGGTTTCTGGACAGAGATGACCGTATTACAGAGTCACGAATAGAAAGGATAGATGTTTGAATTCTTATTGGAAGCTTTAATTTAATATGATCATGCAACCCCAAAAAAATCCCATGAAGTTTTCTCCTGTGAATCATCAGGAAACAGACGAAATACCGATCCTTGCTTTTTTAATTCTACATCATAAACATTAAATTATGCAGCTTTGTGACTGAAAAAAATATATTTCTCATTATATTAATGCTCAGAGCTCATTAAAGAATATTTCTTTTTGATAAAAAAAACAACAACAAACAATAACTTAGCTTTAGATTGTGGCAGTGGTAGAGAGATTTTAACAGAGTTTGAATGTGTTTTCTGTTTTTCTGCTCTGTACTTAAGAAGTTATGAAGACTCACACATTTTTGAAAAGTGCAATTTTTAAAAAGCAAAATTTTCCCCTCTCTGTAATTAGTGCAATATTAATAGTATGAAAGTAAAAATGTAAATGGCATTAAAGGTAGAGTGTGTGAAATCTCACCACTAGATTTAATAGATTGCAGACTGTAGAATTCAGCTTTCTTAACCTTCCCAATTAAAGTGCATCATTCACAGTGACTGCAGGCTGTTAGTCTTTACTTTACCTTAGAAGTATACTGGATGTCCATATGTATTTACGATTTACTACTGGACAATTCTGTAAAAATTAGTATAAGGAGTCCGATACGAGTCAGTGAAGTCCACTTCTGTCCACTGACAGCAATACCGAGATGAGTTGTTGAGGATATGCTGAACTTTTCTGTCAGTAAGTGCTGCTGTTTTTGCTGCTATTAGCTGCCGTTAGCCTCTGTTAAGTGCTGTTACCTGGCATTTGCTGCCATTAGCTGCCATTAGTTAAACTCTCTTTGAAATGTTTTTAATGTCTCAGACACTCGTATGATGTGACAATGTCAAGTTTTTTTTATCAGAGGGAAAATGCGATATCTTTAAAAAATAATAATTTTATTACATTTTTTAAGGACGCTCTAGCTTAGCATTAGCTGGCGTAACGTTAGCTTAAAACCAGCGCTTGTTGTTTAGCTGGCTCATTGTCCAGCAATGGGAGGGTTACTTGTTTAATCTGGTGATGATAAGTAATTGTGAAATATTGGCAGGTGTTCATTTCGCCCTCTGTATTATATGTCAGTCTCTACAAGGTGAGGCAACACAGCAGCCTCCACAAACAAGCGCCCACTCCCGTGTATTAGAATAGATTCATTCTAAATTAATAATAATGATTTTTTTTTTTAAATTAAAAAACTTCAAAAGATTACGTACTTCCTGTACCTTTTAAAGACGCTCAAGCTGTTGTACAGACTGGACGCATAGATAAAACGTCCTGTAATGCTGTTTCACAGCTAAAAAAAAAATCGCCGTCATCCTATTAAGACGTCGCATTACTTCACTACCTTCAGAAGATGACTCAGGGCCACTCGTCTTCTCACAGAAACACACAGTAAAAGTGAATATATGACATGTTTATTAAAGACCGCCTTTTTTTTCTTTAACGGTCCCACAGCAGCTTTCCACATGATGTGTGATGGCTCCTATTCTGTGGTATTTGCAGTAGTAGTGACATAAGTTACATCAGAAAAATGGCTCCTTTTGCAGCTTCACTGTGTGACTCCTCTGTGTTAATATTTATACCAAACCTGCACGGGTACAGCTTTGATCCGTGGTGACGCCGTAACTTTATCTCTCTGCTCGTTTTCTTCTTTTAATCTGTCACTTGTGATTTGAACTTTTCATGTTTTTCCTCCTGCAGGACACAGAAAATGGGTTTTTCTCAGATGTGAATGAGCAGGTGTCCATGGTGTGCAATCAGCTGGCTCAGGACCCCAAGTTGAAGGGAGGATACAATGCGATGGGTTTCTCCCAGGGGGCGCAATTTCTGTATGTAACTCCTGTTCTGGACTCTGGTTTTCTTACTTGTTATGCGAGAGAAATTGGAAGCTTTGTGTGTTTGAAAAAACCCCAACTCTCAGGCCTCGGCACGTTTCCCGCTCGTAGTTTTTGTCTCCTGACTGAAATGAGGAAGCTCGCTCTGACTCTTTGACCCGGTTCCTCTGTTCGCAGGAGGGCTGTGGCTCAGCGCTGTCCCTCTCCACCAATGAAAAACCTGATCTCTGTTGGCGGTCAGCACCAAGGTGATACTATAATGATAACTTTAGCTCACTTCCCTGTGAGCAGAGCTGACCAGATATATTCTGATGTAAAAGTAGTGTTTAGGGGGTTTTTTTTACCCTTCAGCCAAAAAAGGCTGATGAGGTTTTGCCGTCACCCCGCCAAGCGGGCTGGCGCCGTGAACATGATAACTAGAGAATGGGTTGATGTAGGATTTTCAAATTGATACCACAGGTGTATCAACTTTAAATCTCAGTGACCTAAATTTAAATGTCAAGGTTGGACATCAACTAACGAAGGAACTTACCTACTATGTTCAAACTTATTCGATAAGTGCATCTACCAGGAGGCTGAAGGGCCTCGCTTTCAGATCTGAACTCAGTAGTTGCAAAGAAAGTTAAATTGAAAACAAAACTAAAAGCTCTTTTATGATGTAGTTAACTTGTAAAATAAAACTCAGTCTATTGTCATGAATCAGCTGCACATAAAAGTTTAACCTGACTCTGTAGGTCCTTCTCTTTGACGTCAGACTTGTTATTCTGTTCTGCTCTATTTACACATCACAGGTGATCTTTGAAAACAGAACTCCTCTCCTCAAATTAAACACATTCAAGCCTCTATGTAAAGATGTAAACAGCTCAGTCTCCCACTGGAGACTTATTAAGAGCCTCAAGTGCTCTGTGAGCCAGACCAGGGAGCTATGGGAGTGAATGGTCCAGGTTATTTCCTGACAGTTTTCTATGCTGCCTACTAATTCCTGACAGCTTCCAAACAAGCTGGAATCTAACCCTGTGTGTTTTTCGAATCCTCAGGTGTGTACGGGCTGCCCAGGTGTCCTGGGGAGAGCTCTAAAATCTGTGACATGATTCGTGAAGCTCTGAATAAGGAAGCTTACTTGGGCTGGTTTCAAAAGCAGTAAGTTTTCCGTCTTGCATCAGCCTGTTGTGCCTGTTGTTCCTGTTAAGTCATGTCAAGCATCTCGTGACGAATCGTTTCTGTGTTTGTGGTTATCAGCCTGGTGCAGGCCCAGTACTGGCATGACCCTTTGAACGATGATCTCTACAAGAAGTACAGCCGCTTCCTGGCTGACATCAATCAAGAGCGGGTCAGTAGAGCCAGAACAGCCCTGTAGTCAGTACAACGAGGTCGCAGAAGTGTAAACAGCGACTGCGTTAGGAAAACAAAAAGGAGATTGAGGGTTTTTTTCCAGCATCTCGGTGTTTATTGTTTACTCCGTCTTTGCCATCTGCTGATGGAGACAAAGAGATGCAGCTATGAATAACTATACAAGTGGACTTTGGTGCCTAAAGAGTTTAATTAATTGTTAATAACTTATTTATTGTCCTCTCAAAGATGAGTTATAACCATGAAATGTTCTCAACATATAATACACCTTTATACACTTTTAGATTTCTTTATTCTCCATTAAAACTATAAACAAGTGGAAAAAAAAAACAGAAGGCAACACAGAAGGAAGACGGCTGCTGCTACTGTGTAAGATGCTTAAGTCCAGTGAAAGGTATTGATTAAAAGACAATGAGATTACACCCTATTAGTGCTTAACAGTCTGCTCCAGGGTCAACATGTCCAGGAAGAAGAAAGTCTGTGTCGTGCCATCAGCGTGAAACTGAAGTTTGCCCACCGACGTAAACTGCTGTTTAGATCGAGAGCTTAACCTTTCATTAATAGACAGGATTGGATTAGACTGTGTGGCTACAAACTGACCTGCAGGGTTATCTCTGCTAATCCATAAATCAATCAATTTATCAAACAACTCAATAATCGCTTAATAAAAATCAGCTAAAGAGCTGTTTCACAATTTGGTAACCCTCATTATGTTCTCTTCATACTGAGCTACGACGCAGAAGAGAATGATTTATTCAGATTAATTATGTCCTTTAAACTCTTTAAGGGTTCTTTATTAGAGCAGGGTGCTAATTCATTTTAAAGAAGAAGCCTGGGATTGTTTGAGGTAGAGAAAGCCACACAAGACACATGGAGACATTTAATTGTATTTATATAATTCCTGAATCTGATTGATTTTTTTAAAAAATCTTCGTGCACATCTGCAAAGTTCTTTTTTCTGTTTGTTGAAAAATGTTTTTGTTTTCTACTAAAGGCGGTGAATGAGACTTACAAGAAGAATCTTCAGCAGCTAGAGAAGTTCGTCATGGTCAAGTTCCTGCAGGACTCTGTGGTGGATCCTGTCGATACTGAGGTACCAAACATGATGCACGTAGTTATTTAAAAAATTAACAGAACTAAAAACACAATGTGAAGAAAAAACTTCAGCGACTTCTTATTTAAAGTGTCTGTGTAATGTGTTGAAGAGATGTAAGCTAAAGTTGAATGAACTGGAGCCAGCCTGTACATTCATGTAATACCAGTTTACACCACAAGATGGTGCAGTGAGTCAGTGCAACCTTTATTTTACCATCTAAGTACAATACCAGTGGTCTGGTGAAACACCTTGTAAGGAAAGAGCGGTAGCACTTAACTGAAATCATCCCAGCATACACGCTGGTAAAATTCTGTCCCCTGATGGCCAAAGTTTTAGCTAAATTCTGCACAAGTCAGTTTCAAAAAATACTTTTATAAAATCAAAGGTTAAAAGTGCTGAATAAAGACCAGTCACAGTCTTGTCCCGATTCTTCTCGCAGTGGTTCGGCTTCCTGAAAACTGGCCAAGCCAAAGAGACCGAGACTCTACAGGAGAGCGTTCTCTACAAGGAGGTAATCACTGCAGGTTCTCTGATGAGGGAAGAGAGCTGACGGTGTGAGCAGTACACACACTTTATTATCCAGTGTTTCCTGTGAATGTGAAGGCTAAGCAGTCACAAGAAGGTGGTAATCAGATTTATTTGTCAAACCGCGGTCTCAGTCTGTATTTGAGTATATTTATGTGTTTACATGAAAGTGCTGGTGTGCAGCATCTGCCAATGAGACACACGGAAAATATGTGTGTGCATTTACAACAATATAGATTTTTTTATTTATTTTAAAAGGTGCAACTTTATTCCTTAATTTTTTTTCCCCTCGTTGGTTGCAATTTTACACTTTTATTGTTCTGTAGGCATTAATGTGAGAATTCAGAACAGGACATATTTATACTGCAAGTCTGCGCACAGACTAACCCTGTTTTTATTCATTATTTGGTATCAGACTGTTTGTCAAGTCAATTTATTTATGACTCATAGAAACACTACAATTAACTCAAGAACAACAATTAAAGCTAAATGATTTTTACTTATAGTTAGATTATAAACCTTGGGTTGACTTATCGAGTTGAGGCACTGAGCCTAACTGGGTATGGTGAACTTGGTTTGTAGTACACGGAAGGCCTGGAGCAGGTTAGCTGCAGCACAAGTTACCATGGCAATGGAAATGAACCACCTTTGTAACACTTAGGATTATCTTGATAAGTATAGATCTCTGCTTTTGTTTTGCCTTTTTATGCCTTACCAAAAATTCAGCTTTTATTTTTTTGCCTTAACCACCTTACGATGGTTCTGCATGTAGCAGGACATATCTTAGTTCAGGTTTCCATCAGCAAATGTTTATTAATCAAACTTTGTTGCACATGCCGGTTGTAAAACAGACCCTCTGTGTGTGTGTGTGTGTAGGATCGTTTGGGTCTGGCGGCGATGGACAAAGCAGGGAAGCTGGTTTTTCTGGCCACCGAAGGCGACCACCTCCAGTTCAAAGAAGAGTGGTTCAAAGCCAACCTGCTGCCTTATTTACACTAAAGCAGCTCCATACTGATAGTCTCAGATTGCTGTAGCTGCAGTTGAAATCAAGAGCAATATAACGCCAGTTTAACAGGAAGCTCAAGCTTAGCAGAAAGCATCATTTACTCTTTTTGCACTGATCATTTCCAGCGTGTTGGCTTTTAATCTGTGTCTTGTGATGCCATCATAATTTTAGCAGTCACATGTGCAGTTTAGCGATGAGGTCAAACACTATTCATCATTGTTGGCAGGTTTTACAGGGGTTTTTAAGCCACTCTTGTTTTTCCTCATGTGGATCTTTTAACTGTGAAATAATGCTTCTGTACAAATAAATCATCAATAAAATAAAGACACCCAAATACTTTGATTTATTGCAACATTTTTAATGATGTCTCCAGTACTAATGAGCAGATTTCTGAGTTTGGACCCCCCAAAAAAGAGAAATTAAAGAGGTAAACAAAAACAAGAGACATAAAAGAAAATTCAGCGAAGAGCTCCACAGCTACGAGAGCTGCAGACATGAGAAGGAGCAGGATGCTGATGGTCAGGCTGATATTTAAAGACTATTCATAGCTGTACAGGTGATTACAGCAGGTGTTTCCAATCACTTACTCCAGTCTGTTTTCCTTTACTTTTTAAAATTCACTTCCACCGACTTCCAACATCTCTTTGCTCTTTATCACACACTTTTCTTAAATGCCTCCTAACATGGAATGTTTTTTTTCTCCTTTCATTCAGGAATGTCCTGTGTAGATTTAAGTGAAAACGTACGTTAAACCGTTCAAACATCATCATCTAGATGGATTTATGCTTTAAAAATGATGTAAGAGAGAATGTTTTTGCACAGCTTGCTTTTACTCTGGTTGTATGTGCTCAGAGAACTTGTTTTACATCATTCTCCACTATGAGTCTCATGGTTGCAGTCATCAGTGGAGATGATATGGATGCCTTTATCCTCTTTAAAAAGGGCTTTTTTTGACAAGTGCTTCACCAGTGAATTGCATATAATGGAACAGAAACCTTGAGGCCACAACTTAAACACGCCAGCCCCCCAGCTGAACAGGAAGAAGGGAAAGAAATGAGCCTGATTGGCTGCAGAGGAATCAACATTGCCTATTCTAAATTTTGCTCAGCATCATCCAGATAAATTCCCAAAAAAAAAGAATAAAAATGCATACAGAGCTTCCCAGCTGTTGGCAAAACTCTTTTCAAGTGCTTGCAGGGAAACCCTAATTTGAATGACAAGCTGCTCCCTGCTGATTGGCTGGAGGATCTGCTCCAGATAAGGCAAGCAGCCCTCTAATTGGCTAACAGAAGGAACAGTTTAAGCTGTGATTGGCTGATAAGGAAGGAGGGGAAAGGTCTGAATCTCAGTGTACAGTGTGAGAGTTAGCTGGTGGGGTTGTCGATCAGTCAGATCGGACTCTGCAAAAAAAAAAAAAAAAAAAAAATTAAAATAGACGAGTGGGGATGGCGTTGAGGAGGGGCGGCCGTTTTAATATGCTGCCCCAGTTTATCCGGCGATCTCTGTTGCTGTGGTGACGAGCTTACTGCCGTCCCAGACGGTCTTGAACTGCTCGGGTACAGGAATCTCCGTCTGAAAGGGAGAGACACACAGAGGGTTTTTGTCAGATCAAACAAGCTTTTTCAGACCAGCTTTGAATTTTTATCGTTTATAGTCAGCAGCTGATCAGCTCGGCTCAGGATGAAGACTCGATAAACGGGCTATTCTGGTTCTGGTCAAAGGTTCCTAGCAGCACTAAAACGAGGATGGGAGACCTTTGCCCCCCCGTTCTTAACCTCATGTTCTCATTAGTTAACAAAAATCCTAAAAGCAACTACGCCACAAACCTGATCGCTGCACTCAAAGATGCACAGTTCAAGGAACACTTCATGGTCTAATTAAACATGCCGAGCATGCGAAGCTGAAAGCAGCTCAAAAGATCAAATGCACACTACTCGCTGGATCAATGTGACCGTTTGCATGTTAACGACTTTGACTTCAAACTTCTGCAAGGCTGGACTTTTATCCAAGACCTTTTATAGAGAAATTCATAATTGATGTGTGACGCTTGCCTCACAGACACTAACAAGTACCTAAAGAGGCTGAACGTGTTTGTCTACCCAGGAGAGTTCAGAGCTCTCATAAAGACTTACTGCTCCTTCTATTTGTATTATTCGATTGACTTCTTTCACTTTATTTTCAGAGTATATTTGATTTTTAACTTGAGGTATGTGCCTACTTGTCCAGGTCTTCCTTGAGAAACAGATGTTAATCTCAATTGACTTTCTGGTTGAAATAAGGATTAAATAAAAGCAGCAGCACTGAAAACTTAGTGATGACAGCATTTACAAAGCCAAAAATACCCCATAAGGTTTACAGAAGCAGTGAGGTTGCTTATCACAGTCAGGTGAGGTCCTGTTTTTGTCCCGTTAAACGTCCTGTGCCAAACAAATGAAATCAGAGATACTCACAAACTCTCCATCTTTGTTGGGTACCAGCACGTTCATCTCTGAGCTCTTGGCGCTGATGATCTCACACTTCAGAGAGTCCTTGCTCAGGTAAATGTGGCAGCCATCTGTCTTGTTGATGGAGATAGTTGGGACCTTCCCCATAACCTGGAAACAAAAGGAAAAAGGAAACAGTAGACCCTTTGGCTAAAAGCCAGTAACTTTATCAGGAAGATGATACACAATGCCGATCTACAATCAGCTTCTACAAATCTCCTCAAGCCCAACACTGCACCCAGTTGACAGTGAAGCTGCCAAAAACTGAGCAGCTTGCAGTTTCCAATATTTAACTACATGAATAATAAACAGAGTTCATGAAAAATGTATAAATCCTCAGCAGAGAAACTACAAAGAGCCGAAGAATGACGGGGCAGCAAAAATCATTCAGTGATCTCATGAAATGCAACAAACAGTGAAAAGAAAAAAAAAAAAATCATGTACACACCTGGATCTTGACATCCTTGCAGTTAATCATCTCCACGATGCCCACAACGTCATCAAACACCAGGCCCATTTTCTTACAGTTGTCTGTCAGAGAAAAATAAATAAGTATATTTAAGAGAATCTTCTAAGCACCGAGCTCATTCTTCTGCCTTTTATTCACTTATGGCGGCTGTGTCGGCAAATATAAATGTTTGGGCATTATATCAGGGGCAATATGAGAGCCCTCGACTTGTGTTTCTAAGGAGTGAGTTTCCTTTCTTACCTAAAGTGATGGAGTTGATTTTGCCCTTGACCTGCAGGGTGCTCTTGTTACACTTGAAAGCATAAACCACTTGCTTCAGCTCAGTGTCGCTGATCACCAGGTTCTGAGCATCCTCCTGGTTCTCCTGCAGAAAGCAAGTTAAGAAAACAAAGAAAAACAATTAGGAAAAAAAAAAAAAGTTCAGTTTGTCTGAGCCAGAAGCAAGTTTAAAAATCTATTTTGGTCATTTTGGCCCCTTCAACGTACCACTTTCCACTTCTTTCCTTCCAGCTCCAGCACAGGGGGGAGCGTACGGGTTGGTGTGGCGGATGCAGCAGGTCTGGCGGCGCTTGAAGCGAAGGGTTTTGGTCCAGAGCGCACTGGAGCGCCCTGACTCCTCAGGTTGGGGTTCTTGTGGGTCTTCTGGTCATCGGACACATGCTTTAGTCCTGCAGGGGTCAGGGAGAGATGAAACATGCACTGTTAGAGAGGGAGCGTTACTTCATCCAAAGCACATCTAATTTATGTGATAACAAAAATAAATAAATAAAGGAATGGAACCCATATATTAATAAGTGTAAATGAGCATAAAGGTTTATAACTGAAATAAAAAGGTCTGTCTTAATACACTGTCTGCCCTTCATACCACGTTCTGCCATCAACTTATTTGTCCAGAGAGGTTCATCAATACTGATTACTACTCCTCACATAGCGTAATGATCAACAAAAGGAAAGAAGGACCAGAGGAGACTCCTTTATATGATTTACATCAACAAAGCCTTTTTGTATTGATTCATGTAGCTCTGCTACATGACTACTGCTGCACTCAAATCATCAAAATTGAGGCCAGAGAAAAAGTATCAGCTCCTCTCATCACTGTTGGTTGGAGCTGTGGCTACCCACCTCGGGTGATGTCAGACCCCTTGTTGATGGAGGCGAACAGGGCGTTCCGATTATTAGCACCGGCGTCCCCAGCGCCGCCAGTGGGTCCGCTCAGGTCAGCGGGAGGAGGGGGTCCAGGGGGAGGTGGGGGAGGAACACCAGCAGGAGCGCTGCGTGGAGCAGCACCGGCTGAAGCTACTGCACCCTGAGGAAGAAGAGAAGAAAACGGTTAACAGGGTGAATGGAGGTCATGAAGGACACACTTTTAGCCTTTAAAGCAGACAAAGGAGAGCACACTCACGAGACAAACTCTGGAGTAATTCTCCCCTCTATAATTTAAAACCGGACTGTTTGCATATCAGGGGCAGTTACACCACTTCTCCCTGTGTTTGCCTCAACTTTGTGTGTAAACAAAAATAAAGTTTATTCTGAAGGGCTAAATTTAGTTTAGTAAAAACAGAGCTCAAGTTCAGTTTCAGGATTGTTTTGCACCCTAAAAGCTCCTGATCAGGGGCGGCATTTTCCTTCATTGTGCACCACAAGAAAGGAAGTCCCAGAAATACATATGCAACAGGGCAAGCTGCAGAAATCATGCAACCATATAACTCTGTAAGTACAGACAGTGCAATTTTCTCTAATGCCAAAGCCCAGTTTGCTCTGGCACAAAGTATTAGTAAAACTGGCCCTAAGGTAAATGTGTTAATTAATCAGTCAGGTTGCATTTGATCACTTGAGAGCTGCTTTTTAATGTTTCAAGTTGCAGTAATTTCCCTTTTTATTTTTTTTCTCTCCTCCTTCCTTTGGAAACTCACAGTCTTGCTCCAGGTCAGTCCGGTGGTGTGTTGCTCTTTGATGTAATGCTGCAACGCAGTCCAGATGGAGATGTAGGCTTTCACCCAGTCCACATGCACCTTGTCCCTGTGAAGACGACACATGATTTTATGGCATCGTTTTTTAGCTCTAGCAGTTTTTCTTCCTTTACTTAGACCTCACAACACAACTTTATTTAATTTTTATTTCAGATTTTCTCATTGTGCAAACTGACTGCCTGCTGTATGACATGTGAACACGAGCTGAGAGCACAAACAGTCTGCCTCACTTTCAGGCTTTTATCACAAGTTTAAACCCAGGAAGTCTGCCACCGACATGCTTCAGTGTATCATGTGGCAGTGCTGACTCAGTAAAACCGTGGGGCACCATAACTTGAAAAAGGAAAAGAAAGGATGGAAGACAGATGGGTTGAGCAAACTGTCTGGCTGCATTTAAAAGTTCTTTTGACCCTTATGTTTATTAGATTCAACATAAAAAAATAAAAACATATGATACAGTTTAAAACGATAAGAACAAACTGTGGAAGAAATCCCAGCAGCTTTGTATACAAATTAAATTTGGACGGCCCATCTGCTGCGGACAATGAGGGAAACAGGCTTTAATAATGGAGGTTTTACTGACTTGTCCTTGTAGTCCTTCAGCACACGGTTGGTGTAGAACGTGGCGGCGTCCTGCATCTCCTTAACGTACGGGCCTGGTTTGGGAGCCTGACACGAAGTAAAAAAAAAGTTTAGAATCATTTTGTAAAACATACCCTGTGTGTAGTTTTTGCCTAACTGAGCCAGTTTGTTTTGTCATATTGCTTTTATTATATTGAGCAGTCCAGTCCACTTTGTTTAAGCATTTTGATCTAGGTTGTACTTAGTGTTCTTGGCTGCGGTAACACAGGAACTTCCCCAAATTTTGGGATAAATAGAGCCAGTCTTATCTCGTATATCATGGGTGGGAAACCATTTAGTCCAAATGTCCACAGAGAACGTTAAAACAAAAAAAACAAACAAACAAACAAACAAACAAACAAACCCCCCAAACACTGGATAACTGAGTTTGAACTTAGTAAGATTTTAATTGTAACCTGTCGCTAACAATTTAAAAGCACAAGCATCATGTCAGCATTTAGATTGCTGGTAGATCCCAACCTGACATGTACCACTATAGAGATCACTTGATGAAATAAACAGTATTAAAATCAACTTAAACAGCAGTAGAGAATCACTGCAGTCATTTGCTTTGACATGCCTCCTGCCCCTTATTGTTTTGTTTTCCTTTAGGACTCTGTGGGCCAGGTTTTTCCTGTCTGTCTTTTAGAGTCGGATTAAACGGATGCAGAGGAGTCGGGTATGTTTGAAGAAAGGGGAAAGTATAAAACTAAAGCTCAACATTTTGAGAAATTAAAATCTTTGCTTCCCCACAAGTGAAGCCTTTAATTAAAGACTAATCCATCCTACTGCCATAAAGCTACACCCACAATCTTTGCAAAAAGAGGCTTTGTCCAAAGGTCACAAAAAT